GCTGTTATTAATACCACTTATCTTATCAAAAAAAAAACAAAAGGAGAACATTGGTCATGCCTCGTTCATATAAAAAAAATTAATCAAATTAAAAAGAGATACATTGATCTATGTGAACTTTTAAGAGAAAGATTTAAATGTTTCCTTTTTCTGACTAACTAAAAAAAACACACTACTCTTACACACAGTGAAAGTAATATCATTAAAGTGAGAGAAAAAAAAAAGGAGAACATACTCTACTATGAGTCACATAAATATGAGAGTGCAGGAACTCTATGGAATTAGATACTAGCTTAAAAGTGACTACATAAAGATTTGCTATCAATTTCAGTTCAACTTTTGGTTAAAAACAAGGCAGGAAACTATTCTTAAATTTTCTAGATGAGAGTGCAGGAATTATATGGAATTGGATACTATCTTAGAAGTGACTACATAAATTTGAACCAAGGAATGGCCTGAGAAAAAATCAAAACACAAGAGAAGCATTCATAATGCAAGGATATGTCACGATTCTGAAAAACAAACTGTAGGCTGTTAGTCATGCAAGGAGATGTCACGATTCTGGAAAACAAATTGTAGGCGGTTAGTCTTTTGTTTCTCGGTGTGGCTTTCAGACTTCAAAAGCAGTTATTCCTTCCTAGAAATGTTTCCTTTGTTCCCTTTCTTGGAGTCACTACTTGTCCACTTGCCTTACATCACTTCTTCTTTTTTATGAGGTCACTTGCCTTGCATGACTATTGTTTCCACTGGCACTTCTCTCTGAGTGAACATTATATTGTATCAAAAGTTACATTGGTCATCTAAGTTGCTTCGACTCTCCAAAAAATTTGCCGCACCCATGTCGGATCCTCCAAAAATGCACTACATATACCCGATGACATTTTTGAAGAGTCCAAGCAACATAGTTGGTCATGCCTTGTTCATACAAAATGTTGAGTCAGTTGAAAAGGTACAACAATGATCAATGGGAACTTCTAAAAAGAAAGATCTGAATGTTTCCCTTTTTAATAGACTAAAAACACTCTACTCTTCCACGCCTAGTGGAAATAAAACAATAAAAGTGTAGAGAAAACAGAAGGAGAACAACTACGAGCTACATGAAAGTGAGATTGAAAAAAGTCAAAACTTTTTATCAATCAGATGGTAAAGATTTTACTAGCAAGTTCAGTTCATTTTTTTGGCGAAAGAACAAGGCAAGAAACTATTATTAAGTTATCTAAATGAGAGAGGAGGAATCCTATGGAATTGGATACTATCTTAAAAGTGATAACATAAATTTGAAATCAAGGTATGACCGGAGAAAAATTCAAGACATAAGAGAAACATTCAAAATGCAGATGCCATGATGCTGGAAAACAAACCGCAGGCTATTAACCTACCTTTATGGAGTGATAGAAGGGATTTCCCACGTCCATTTCTTGAGCTAGATGGTAATCGCATCCTAATGTCTTTCCAGAGCTTCTTATACTCCTCTTCATTGTAGGGCGTCCTCATTAAATTCAAAACCTCCTTCCTGTACCTAGAATCTATGATTGTTGCATCCAGCTTGATACACAAAATTAGCAGCCAATGGTTACAAGAATTATCATGGTGAACCAAAACTAAGAGGTAACATAAAATAAAAGAGGTACCAAAAGAACCAGTTAAAGTAGCAGAAGAATTGAAATCATACATTCAGGCAATGTTCCACTGAAGGTACAAAGGGGTTAGAGCTACTGCCCCTGCCTACCTCTGAACCTACATTCTCAAGGATTTCTACTTCACTTTGG